GGGTTTATTTGAAAGTATATTTAAAACTAGATGAAAGATATTTGGATCTTTGAAAATGCCCTAGAAACTGAATGAAAACAACAACTCTCTTTTATCAGAGCTCTGACTCATAGACCTGCTATTATAATAGAAAGACCTTAGTTGAAATACATTAAAAAAATACATATATTCTTTTAAGTAGCTTAAGTTATCATACACGCAGATTTTTTTTTAAGGATCCCAGAAGCAGTCCCGTGTATGGACAACCTAAACAGAAGTGGCTGATTTTATAGGTGAAAAAATTGAGTCACAGGGGGTGTTAAATTGAAATAGTAAATTTCCTTAAGATACTACATATGACTCCTGTTTGATACCAGTTGTACCACCATCAGTTAGAATTAATCAATTTATTTATGATCCATCAAGTTCAAGCCTTTAATATCATGAAGAATCTTGTGCCTTAAAAAAGGGCAACTTAGGTGATACAAAAATATGTCTTAAAATAACTAATTCACGCAATTCTGTTTGAGAAACTGATTAGTTTGGTGGAGTCTGGGATTTAGTTAAGTATTAGGTCAAAGGACTCTCCTTAATGGAATTCGTCTTATATGAGACTTAAGTTTAAAGTAGATGGCTGTTCATCTTTGGGCTGCTTAGGTAGCTTGCCCAAGAAGGGCTAGGCTCACTTCAGCCTTATGGTTCAATAATAACAGCCATGGCTACTATGTGAGAGCCGACTGTGTAGAGTGCATCGTGCAGACAGCTAACCAGACATGACCTCATTTCATTTTCTTCCAAACTCCTAGAGTGTGTGTGAGGGACACCGTAATTCCTCGCATGCCGGAATGCTCCAAGGAGGACTCCATTTCTGTTCTCACAGTTATTGGGTACACCCGTAGTCCAGGAGGAACTTGGAAAACCTGCAAACTCTCAAGCTTAGCAAGGGGATGTCAAACTGAGGACCACAAAGCACATTTCCTCAGGGCAGCTTTCCCTGAACACTCTCTTCCCCCCATCCCCAATTAAGTCAGCCCTTTCTAAGTTCTCCTTACAACATACAGTTCCTTTCTAGCACTCAGCAGTTTGTAATTATATATTCATTGCATGATTACTGGTTGGGTCTGCTTCCCTACTAGACAGTAAGCTCTATGAAGGTGTTTATTGTGTTTATTTTGCTTTTTATTCCACTAAGTCCAGTGTCTGGTGTATTGCACGTACTCAATAAATATTTACGGAATAGGTGAAAGTGGTATTTCTTTGTCTTTTTGGTACCATCCCTGACATAAACTGAAACAGGCATGAGATTGACGTGGGAGAGAGGCCTGGGAGTTCAGAAGGTTCTGTAAGCAGGTGAAAGGCCATGGCTGGCACAGAGGTAGACAGATGAGCCAGCTGGGAAGAATTTTCCACATCAGAGGGGAAAAGACCTTCCCACTAAAAAGACAGGCATCCTTGACGAGTAGATGACTTGAGTTTGCTGCCTGATTTTGTGTTTTTAGGTTCGAATGTTTTATAGTTCTGTGTTTTATATTCCTTTCCCCTGCCCCCTTAGTTAGTTTGAAGTGTCATGAAAGGGTCCAGGGATAGACACGTTATTAAGAGAAGCTATCAAAATGGATTTTAAGAGAACGTTTTATGGAGAGTAGCTCTGCAGAGGGCAAAGTCACATTAAGACAGAGCATCCTCATTGGATAACCTGGGCTGATGTTTCACAGTTTATGGAGCTTTCAGATCATCTGATTCTCATGGCTGTCTTGTGAAGTAGACATTTCAGAATCAAGGTTCTCAGTTTACAGATGAGGAAAGGGAGGCTCAGAAGAGGTTGATTTATCCAAGCTGAAGTGAAAACAAGAACAAATGAACTTTTTGAGTGTTTACTATGTGTTGAGGGACTACATTAAGCCCTTTATAGTGAGTACATGATATGATCCTCACCGCAGCCTCATGAGGGAGGTAACCATCATGATTGTTTTCATTTTACAGATGAGGAAACTGACACTTGGAGAGGTCAAGTGATTTGCCTCAAATTACGTAATCAAGAAGCATAAAGCCAGGCTTCAAACCCAGATAGTGTCTCAAAAGTGTGGATGATAAACTCCTATGCTAATAAGTAGCATTGGAAGTTCTCCAAGAAAGTACACTGTGTTATTTGTGTTTGCTACTACAGTTCTTTTGACTCCTGGTTCAACTCAGGCTACTATTTTTTTTTTAAAACCTGTTCGCAGTTTCATCTTCACTTAGAATTTATCAGTTGGAGGCCACAGTGATGCATTGCATATGAGTGAAATTACATCAATTAATTGCAGACAAAAATCCCCTACATTTATTAACTTAAAAATTATTGAATATAGTTACTAATATTATTTGTTAGAAGTGCTTATCACTTAATAACTACAGGACACATTCTATTGAATGTGTTGGCGAAAACTTGCGTCTTTTGCTGAAAGTGTACAAAACATTATTAAGAAGCATAAAAAAAAATCTGTCCATGAAAATGTGTTTATATGAGTTCTTTTTAGACCGATATCTCTTCAAGGAGATAACAATGACCAACAATGACCAGAATGTTTTGTGCCCTCAATAGATCCGAGTCTTTCTCCCTGTGGGTTATTTTAACATTATACTTTGTAATTGAAAAGAGAACATGAAAATGCCATACTATGTAGCTTAGAAGAACAACAAAAAGCTGTTGCCTAGAGATCTAAATAGGAAAGTGATCGAGCCAAAATTTTTGGCCTATGTGCAGAGCTGTGAACCAAGCTAGACACCTGAGGTCAATGAGCAGACAGCTTGGCACAGAGGGTCATTTATGTGTCTTTTGAATATCACTGACTGCATTTCAAAGCCACATTAGAAAGGATACTGGCTCATATTTGGCTTTTTGTATTGTGTGCCTCTTCTCCTCTCCATTGTGGATAACTGAGGTTTTAATATACAGTAGTGACATTCTAGTAGATGAAGGAAGGGGGCAGTCCCCAAGGGCAATCTGAACTTCTGCTTAGTATATTTACTCTTGCTGTTTTCCTTCCTCCTCACTTGTAATTCAGGAGGTTCTCTGAGAAGAGAGAGACAGCAAGGCTTCTTAGATGGATCGAAGGACCATGAGCTGGGATACCAGGTTCTATGAAAAGGTCTGGTGTTAAATTTGCTCTGCTACCTTTAGGCAAATCATTGATCACGCTGTGCTTTAGTTGCTTCCTGCACTTGCTAAATGTAAATAGCATGTATTTGAGTATATTGTGATTGTTATAGAGTATTTTAAATGTGTGGGTGATTTATTTTTCCAGGCCAGCTGCTCAGGTATAAAGCAAATGCTGCTCCTTTCGATGCTAGGCTTCGTGGCAGTCAACTAACCCCAAATCTTTCTGACTACAGCAGCCATCTACTTGCTTCTTGTTCTGACACATTTTGCAGTCTCTGAGCTATACAGCTTGGTGTGCTTACTCTATAGTTGGGGCATACCTTTCTGTCTCCTTTGTCTTCAGAAATGAAATGTGCCATTTTATGCACTCCTGCTGCTCTTGCCCCCACTTAAAAAAGATGAAGGCTTTCTTTTGGGACAGAGCTGCTTTTTCTGTGACACTGATTCCAACAGACAGGAGAGAGAGTCTATATAATAAACAAACAGTTATTTGGACTTGCTACTATAGTACCTTTTTGATGATTTGGGCCAGGACCACTGGAGGTTTGAAATAGATTTAGTAAGGCACAGGCTGTTTGGCAGGAAGCAGTCAGGGGGCCTACTGGAAAGAGAGAAAACAAAGCACCCCCCCCCCGTGCCCCACCCTTTTCTTTGGTTATAGCGTGTCACATTAGGCAATGAGATATTCCTGTTAGCCAAAGGTACCAAGGTGAGATTCTCAGAAGCTAAGGTGTTGATGGGTAAGGAATGATTTTGTTCCCCATCTGTGGATCACCACCCCACTGACTCATAAATGAAAATCCCTGAAGTGCAATATGGAATTAACCAAAAGGTTTATTTCTTTCGTTTTGAACTAAAATAAAATGCATTTACATTATTTCTGGTGCAATTAAATTAAAAGCATTTTCCAAGCAAATCTAGGAAAGTATTATTAAAGTTAGAGGTCCCACCAAATATGTTACTCTTTAGTTGTAGCTTGGGTAGCAGCAGGAAGAACTGCAGACACAGGAACACAGTGTAACCCTTCAGTTTTGAAACGTTGCTAGGTCTCTCAGTGCTATAAATGATCAAAGAAACATCCGGGTAAAGACCTCTCCCAGAGCTGAGTTCGCTTTAAGAGTGTTGGGTCCAACTTCCGTCTGTTAGTTCAAGGAAACGAGGCAGCCGGGGATTCTAATTTGGGGTCTTCATTCTTGGGCAGGGTTATCAATACATCAAAACATTACTTTTGTGTGCCCCAGCTGCAGTAGCTTCCAACAATGGCAGAGCTGTCACTCCTGCCTCTTAGAAACACGTAGCCAGCAACTTGTCACGCTTGAGGAACAGGACAGGCAGGTAGTGGTGGTGGGAAAGGAAGAGGAAGGGAGGGATTGGTGGCATCCTTTCCCCCTAGATTCTTCCTGCAAAGCAGGGTGGAGGCTCTTGGGGTGGGGTTCTGGCTGGTCGGCTATAAATGCAAATTGGAAACTACGCAGCTGAGCTGGTATCAAGAACTGGCGGCGTTCGTCTCTGGGAAGGACTTGGGTCAGGATGTACGGAAGGGATGAGACTCCCCCCCTTCGCCCCCGGGACAATCGGCACGATCAGGTGAAAATCCCGCCGGGGAGTGGGATGACTGTAGAGAGGCAGCGACTAAGGCGAGGAAAGACCAGAGGTCCTTCGGGCACCACCTTGCAGCGGCAGGGAGGCTGCAGTTACCGCCTTCGGAAGAGATCGCTCCTGCCCTAAAAGCATTAAAACCATCTCCACCATTATCAGAGGCCGAGGCAGACACGGGAGGCGGGAGCGCGCGCCGAGCGAATGCGCGCTCCCTTTGTCCCACCTCCCGGCCGGCCCGCTCACAGGACGCAGGGCGCGCGCCCGGAGAGAACGCGCCCCAGCGGCTCCTGCGTGGTCCGGGTGGAAAGCGGCGCCGGCGGCAGCGGCGTTCCGCAGGCGGAAGGGAAGGGGGAGGTGACGAGGCAGTGCGCGGCTGCTCCTCCCCACCCCCCGCCTCGGCCCTGAAGGGGCTGGATGGGCAAGTTGGGCGCGATGGCTCGAGCCCGGGCGGCGGCGGCGGCGGCCGGAGGCGGCGGCGCCTCCTGCTCCTCGCCCCGGCGCCGGCGGTGATCGGAGCGAGCGGCCGCGGCCCCCGATGAGACTGCTGGCGGGCTGGCTGTGCCTGAGCCTGGCGTCCGTGTGGCTGGCGCGGAGGATGTGGACGCTGCGGAGCCCGCTCACCCGCTCCCTGTACGTGAACATGACCAGCGGCCCCGGCGGGCCGGCGGCGGCCGCGGGCGGCAGGAAGGAGAACCACCAGGTACGGGCCGGGGCCGGGGCCGGGGCCGGGGCGGGGGCGTGGCGGCGCGGCCTTCCTTCCCGCGCTGGGCCTGCTATTGTGCGGGGCGGCCCGGCCCTCGCCCTGCCGCCCTGGCCCCTCAAAGTTTTCCCTGCGTCTTCCCCGCCGGGCACCCGCCCCGCGACCCCGGGTTCTCCCGGCCCCGCGGCGCCTTTTGTTCGGCGGCGCAGGCGGAGGACGGCCTCCCCTTCCCCCTCCCCGGGCCCGGGCGTGGGCGCCCCGGAGCCCCGCATTGTTCGTGGGTCCCGGGCGGTGGTTGCGGACGCTCGGTCCCCTCGACGTCCGCGCCCGGCGGCGGGACTGGAGGAACTTTGGGGCCGGCGCGTGGCCAGGGGCACCCATCTGGCACCCGGGCCCGAGCTAGGAAAGACCCGACCAAGCCCATCACCCCGTACAATCTTCCTAACCCCTAAGAAACAAAACGAAAAGCCAGTCCCTCTTTTTGTCCAGTTGAATCCCTGAACATACAAAGGGTCATAAGGAAATTGAACCGTGTCTCGTGAGCCATTTAACTCTCTGGGCTAATTCGGGGGACATTTTCCCTAAGCACTTAAAAAATGTGTTTGACAGGTCCTCCCTCCCATCCTAGCGAACCTTCCGAGGTCTTTAAACTTCGATTTAGTTAGCGGACTGGAAAGGTTGTGATAAGAGGGAAGACGATGCAGGCTTTTACGGGAAGGGTTTTTAAAACAGTACCAGGAAGGAACGAATTCTTCTAAGAGTTGTAATTATGGTTCGCGAGCAATGTGATGTGACTGGTTAGATAGTTTTTCATGAGCTCAGTTTTGTGCCGCTTAAAGAAGCATGGACAGGTCAGCTGTAGAATTGAGTGAGATATTTCATATTTGACCATAATGTAGTTTGCAGTTAACGTTACATTCATTGAAAAGAGGTTTTTGGACTCAGCCAGAGTGCTGGTTTATAATCGCTAGCATTTATAGTACATTTTGCCTTTCCAGAGAGCAGTAACTAATTATTCCCATCTTGCGTCTCATCATTTTCATATATTTCTCATTTTCCTGTGTTACTTTTCTTCTTATGCCAGGTGTTCAGAGAATTTACAACCAGGTTGATTCCATGTGTTTTAATGAGGGTAAAGAATTATCTAAGAAGAAGAAGATAAAGGAATTTATTTAGGAAAGTAAAGTTTTTATTTAGGAAATGTTTATATTGACTTTTTTGTATTTTTAAAGGAATGCTGAATTTCCATATTTTTTTGAAAGCCTCCAGCGATTGCAATTTTTTAGGTGATCTATTCTTTTCTCCTTTCCATTATGATATTGTTAGGAGTGTACATAAACTTTGTAATCTTAAATTGTAAAACCACATTTATTGCTGTGGATTAATGATACTGGTTCATTCTTACAGAAACAGCTCCAAAATGTATTGTATTGTTGACTGTACAGTTATCAGAATGTCACATATCTTTATGGAACATGGATAATGGTGTAGAACAATGAATTAGAAATGTCATTTTTAACAAGCAGTGGATAGGAAAAAAAGAGGTTTATTTTCACTGGAGTTATGGTTGAGTCTTTTAGTTGTTGGTGTTAATGGTAACACTTGTCCTGATTACCTCTACAGCAACTCGATACATTTTCAGTCGATAACGTTTTCAGAGCTCATGAAAGAATTGCACCTAATTTTAACAATTGAAAAACTACTTAAATAGTGTGATTTTTGGGGAGCCTCTCCCAACAGGAGATACTTCCTAATTGTGTACCTTTTTAAAGCTAAATCTGTCAGGTTCTAATGAAAACTAATACTGGTTCAGGTACCCCATTTACTTTGTTATGCTTACTGAGATAAGAATGTGTATGTGTGTGCACGCATGTGCTTATGCATGTGTGTTAACCAGTCAGTTGCACTAACAATTTGGCAGATAATTTCTCTGGAATGAAGACTTAACATGGTTGGTGTTTTCTGAATATTTAGGGAGGGATCTTTTTTTTAGAATTATGAATACGGACCTTAATTTAAGGTGAATACGTTCATATTATGAAAATAATCGTCCATGAATACACATTAAAATGCACAAACGAAAAGTGCATATAGAAACCACCATGAGATAAAGTGAAGTAGGAGACTGTCAGTTTCTGTATCATGGCTGAATTGATGATTTCTTACCAGCTTTATAGTCCAGGATCCTGGGTTTGCCTTGTAACTTTGTTGCTTGTGAGGCAACTTTAACTGTTCTCCTTTTTCAAATTGATAGTTTTATACAAGGTCTTCTGGTGTTCATTTGGGTGGGTGAGTTCCATAGCCAGCCACATCTGGTTCTTTTGGAGTTGCATGAAAGTAGGGTAATGGATTTGATTGAACCATGCTCAGCACAATTTTTCCTTCTGGTTATTTTATTAAGGAATTACGACGGAGAATTCTGTGGTTCAAAGAGAGATCTTGGGCAATGTTTATTCATTAAAAAGTGCTCTTTCGTTAGTATAGCCTGGAGATGCAAGGGTCCTTTGGGCTAAAACCTCTCTAAAACTATAGTAGCAGCTTCATTTTAATAACTTGGTTTGGTGTGCTAGCTTAAAAACTAGGATTATGTTTCACTTTGGGCAAGCAGGAGAAGCAGTGCTCCACTTAGAGCAGGGATGTGGCCTGCAGGCCAGATTGATCTCACTGACTTTTTATACAGCCTGTGAAATGGGAATAGCTCTACATTTTTAAATGGTTAGCAAGAACAAAATTGAAATAATATTTCATAACGCATGAAAATTTCAAATATGAAATTCAAATTTCAGTGCCTACAAATAAAGTTTTACTAAAACAGAGCCAGTGCTTCCGAGCTACAACAGCTGAGTTGAGTAATTGCTACAGTATGGCCTGCAAGCCTAAAATATTTACTACCTGTCCTTTTACAGAAAAAGAAAAAAATTTTTCCAAAAGAAAATCCCCAGCTTCCTTAATCAGCATCTTATTCTTAATCACAGGTGGCAGGGTGAGTATATTGACTCCTTGGGTGAAGTAGAGCCAGGCAGTGAGAAACTAGTAGATATCACTTTTCAAGATTGGCAAACTGAGAACTTCAAAAGAAAAAAAAAAATCTTTTTGGATCTAGTGTTTTTGATGCATTGCGCCTAGTGCTTAAAGTTAATGCAACTATTATGGAGCTATTGAAACTTGAAAGTACCCTTAGCCCCACTAACTGGATTCTTGGTAATAACAGTCATTCAACAGTATCTCTATTGATGGAGTGAAAGAATTGTTACAGAACTTGATGGAATCAAACCGCCACAATTTCTTCAGGTGACTTACTGCAAGGTTTTTTGAAAGCACAGATAACATTCAATATCCGGAATTATTAAGGTGTAACTTAAAATTTCAAGTATGTGTACACCTGTGACTTATTTTTTCACCTTCTTGTATAAGCTGTGCTATGCCACAAGTGATGATGAATTCAAGATAGAATTGAAATCATTTGGTTTTCTTTTTCCCAAATGAAAAAATACATGGATATCACAGCCAAACATTGTGCCAAAGGACAGATTCAGTTTCCTGTCCCCTTACCCCTCATTTACCTTGTGGAGGTTGACTGAAATCAGGCATGAGTTAACAGTGCTTCAAGGATAGTCAGCCAGCTAGCCAGATGACGCTGATGGATTGGTGTCCTCCTCTGAACTGCCTTGGAGAGTTGGGAGGCCTTTGCAACTGAATACCAAAGAGACTTTGGAAGGGGTTTCTTTCCTTCCTTATAACCTGTGTTGAAATCCCCAACCAGTGTTTGCTTCAGTTTCATCAGATCTCTTTCTTTTGCTGGACGTACCAGCGGTCTTTATGTTCCCCTTTAAAGGTGCACTAGAAGATCCTAGGAACTTCTAATAAAAAGGCTTTGTTGTTTAGACCGTCTGAAGCTTTGTTAAAATTTTAGGATTATAAAATACTAACAGTGAGTGAGTTCGAAATGAGGATTGCTAGTAATTTATTAAATTAAGATATAATTTCATTTGTATAAATCATTTCCTCCCATGGATGTGAGGGTGTCTGTCACTCTTTGCATTGAAATCTCATATAAAGAGGTTATTGGGTTGGATATATATCATTTGTAGGAAAATGGTGAATGGTTTGAATATTTATGCCTGTGCTGTGCTTAGATGCAAGAAGGTGTCAATGGTGAAATGTCTGGACTGAGTTGTTTGCATTGCAGAAACTTAGAATGTGATTTTTGAATCCTTGGCTGTCAGGGTCAGTGTCGCAGCAGGCTTGGTCTGATCACCCGTGGCAGGAGAAAAGATTCTATGTTCATGGACCCTGAGCAGTGGAGCTTTTCTGATTGTTTTTGGTGGCACCAAATGTTTTAGGTCTTCGGTTATCCATTTCTTTTGAGAGTGGCTGCATGCCCAGATCTACAGTGTGGTTTTTAGGCATTCCCTTGAACTGCATTTTTCCTCTGACCAGCCTTTCCCCTGGACAGGAAGAGGAAGGCAATATGAACAGTTATTGGGCTTCTGCTGTGTGTCAGGCACTTTACATTTATTATCTGCTGTGATCCTCATAACGTCTCTCTGAGGGACCTGGTACCATCCCCAGTTTACAGACAGAAGATTGAGGCTAAAAGAGATGAGACTTGCTCAGGAGCACAGAGCTCATAGATAGTAGAGTTGGATTTTCAACCCAGCTTTGCCTGGTTTCAAGGCCCAGGCTTTTTCAAAAAAACTGCTTGCCCCTCCCGGTAAACCTTGTGTTGTCTGAGGGGCGGTGAAAATAGGCTTGCCTTCTTCATAGGAAACTGCCCCCACTCTGGGGGGCTCTGTGTAGACTTTGAAGTTAGGTAGCTGTGTATACAATACTAGTTGAAGATTTTGCAGTTTGTGAGTTAGATGAGAATGGGACAACTGCTTGAAGTTCTGGCCTTTTTATCTATTTTGTGCATGCTTTTTGTAAAGCTTAAAGTTGAAAAAAAAAATTCTTACCCGCAGTGTCTTTTTTCTGACACCAGCCAATTTTCTAATTTTCCA